GTTTTCCTCGGATTGGGTTTCAACTTTCTCTTGTGTCTCATTGAGCTTGCTTGCCATCCAGATTCTGAATTCTGTGTCTGACATTTCAGCCATTTCAATCTGGTTAAGAATCATTGCTGGGGATCCAGTGTGATCATTTGAAAGTAAGAAGACACTCTGGCTTTTATAGTTGCCAGAGTTCTTGCACTGGTTCTTTCTCTGCGGGTTAATGTTCCTTTATCCTTTGAAGTTGGTGTCTTTTGGATGGGGCTTTTTGTTTTGATGTTCTTTATTGCCCTCGAGGGTTTGACTGTGGTACAGGTTGAGTATAGTTGAATGTTTGTTTCTGGATGCTTTCAGAGGGCCAAGACTCAACTTAACACTCCTAGGCTGCATGCTTTAACACTGGGGGGCTAGGACTGGCCCAAAGCTTTTTCCTCTGGCTCCTTGAGGTCAAGCACCAGCTGCTCTAAGGGAACCAAGGTGCTCTCAGACTGCTGGCAATAGCATTCTGTTGGTTGCTGTGGGCTAATGTGGTCCAGCAGGGCAGCAGAGGGGCTGTGGGTAAAAGGTCTCTGATGGGCAGCACAGAGCCTGCAGGTGAAAGCACTTCAGTGGTGGCCACTGGCAAAAGTGCTCCAGTGGGGTGGCTGAGGCTGCCCTGTGAGCCAGCTTGGCTGAGGCTACCCTGTGAGGTGGCACAGATCAGACTTGCCCCAGTTCATCGGGAAAGACAGCCTTGCTCTCTCCAGGTCCAGCAGCTAACAAAGGTCAAAGCCACCTAGAGGAGTACAGAGGACCTTGGAGGATTGATACCTAAGGCCGCCTTCCGTTGCATCTGACCCTGCACAAAACCACCTGGGTTCCCAGTAGGTTCAAGCTTTGTCTCCGCCTACTCCTGGGCAGTTCCCCCTGCCAACTGCAATGTCGGTGGGTGTCATGATGTTTTCTGCCAGTAGGGTCCTGGAGGTCCATTGGTAGGAGTAGGCTGCTCTGCATTTAATTCTCTAATCTCTTCCTTAGGAGCCCTTCAGAGCCAGGAATGAGTCCTGGTGCTCTGCAACCCCATGCAGGGTTCCTGGCTTCCTCCCCCTTCAGCCCCAGTGTCTGCATCATCTTTTTATCCACTCTCAGTGCATTCTCTCTAAAGATCTTCAGAGCATGCTGATCTACTGGATATTCTGGTCTCTTCCTGGCTGCACCTAGATGGCCATGTTGTCCCAAGTCCCATACTTGTTTTATTACAAAAGAATTTAAAGAAAATAAGATGAAATGTTCACCTTTGCTAATTACAGGTGATTACAGTGGTGTTTGGTAATGTTATTTTCGTGTTATTTTAATTTTTTATGCATATTTAAAAAGAGAGAGAGAGAAAGAGAAAGATTTTGACTGATTGATTCTAGGGAAGAATCAATCATTATTATTGATTCTGTATTCTCAGCTTCAGAATACATAAAGAAAAGGACAAACTGAGAGGGTTGCCCACAAGCCTAGATGGATGAGGTCTGCAGTATTTTGAGATTCGGGACTTGTGGCTACTGAAAGGCGATTTAGTGGGTTTCTATGCCTGAGCCTTCCCAAGATGGTCCCACATCCGTATTTAGATTCACATCCTGATTCAGCTGCCACTGCTCCCAAGACACACAGCAAGAACCCCCCTCCTCTTTCTCTGGAGGACCTATGTCTGTCAAATCAAAACTCTCCATTCTCAGTTTCTGACAGTCTTGCCACTTGTCTCTAGTGTCACACTGTCATCCCTATACCAAATGGCACTACTGACAAGGACCAAAACCAGGATCTGGGTAGCATCCTGTGGGAGTCAGCCAAGACTGCAGTTATGTAGACATCTTTATTTCCAAGTATTAACCTGTCTAGGCAGAAACTACATAATTCCACAGAGATCTTACTGAATCAAGATGTTAACAGCAACAAAGATGTAATAAAAAGCCCTTCGTTGAGAATCAGGCATCTTCATCCTGTCTTCCCAGACTCCACAGGGAGAAAAAAAATGAATACTTTACAAAGCTATTTCATAAAATGTTATGTTAAATGAACAACAAATTACTTTTTCTTTTACTAGTTTTTAATGCTAATAGTGCCATTTATTCCTGACCTTCAGAAATATGAGATATTTTAAATGACAACATAAAAAGAGTTCTTATTTAAAAACCCAGGCTACTTTAGACTGCATATTATTACTTATAAGTATAGCATGTGCCAGCATCATTCATTTCAGCATCCCATTGATATCTAACTGGTATATATTTCAGTTGACATTTATTGTTCTCCTGCATATGTGTCAAATTCCTTAATGCTGACTCTGACAAAGGCAGAGCACTTGGCATATATAAATTACATTTGCTACCATATAATCAGTGTTATCTATTAGAATGCTATTTGTGACAAATCATGTTCAAAATAAAAATTGAATTGATTTTTCTGTTATTTTAATATTGTGCCGCTCACAGCAAGCCTTTGATTGAATCTTAAACACTTTAATGCTCTATTTTTGTTTGAGGCAGATCAGAAATGGGGTTTGTACTATTCACAAAGCTAAAACAATTTGTAACACAACAAAATCAAATTTCAAAAAGCATTTTTATTTTCAAGCCAAAGGAATAAATTTGGTAAAGCTCTCGTTACGGGGCCCACAACTTAACGACAAAAGCCACACATGCACGTTTAATTTCTATGCATCCATTTTCATCTAAATTAGATTTTAACTTTATTGCAGGGTATGAAAAGCCTCTTCAAGGCTTTGTTTCTACCTTTTCTCTCAAGCGATTGCAGGCTTTCTCTTGGTGAATACAAGCTACACATCATTCTTTGTCCCCCTCCCACTTGCAGTTGGTCTGGGCTACCTTCTCTGTGTTCTGAATACAGAGGATCTATGTTTCCAAGCGGGTGTCTAGCAAGGAGTGCCTGCTTCATCCATATTGCTTACAAAATAAATCACACAGCCAGGCACAGCGACTCATATCTTAATCCCAGCACTTTGGGAGGCTGAGGCAGATGGATCACCTGAGATCAGGAGTTTGAAACCAACCTATCTAACATGGTGAAACGCTGTCTCTACTAAAAATACAAAAATTAGCTGGGCATGGTTGTGTAATCCTATAATACCAGCCACTCGGGAGGCTGAGACAGGAGAATTGCTTGAACCTGGGAGGCAGAAGTTGTAGTGAGCCGAGATCACACCATTGCACTCCAGCCTGGGCAACAAGAGTGAAACTCCATCTCTAAATAAATAGATAGATAGATAAATCACATACAACTAGATACTGGCTAACACCATCTTCTTGGGTTAATTTGTGGTTTAAAGCAGGGGTCAGTGAATTAGAGCCTGTGGCTGCCTGTTTTTGTATGACTTTCCCGCTAAGGATGGTTTTCACATTTTTAAATGTTCCTTAAGGGATACAAGAAAATTACATGAAATTAAAACTTCAGTGGCCCTAAATTTTTGTTGTAACATGACCACTTATTCATTCACCTATATAAGCATGCTACATGTATATATGTGAGATGTGTATGTGTGTGTGTGTGTGTGTGTGTGTGTGTCTGTGTGTGTGTCTATATAGCTACTTTCCTGCTAAAATGGTGGAATTGAGTAGTTATGACCAAGACCAAGACCATAAAGCCTAAAATATTTACTGTCTGGCCCTTTGTAGAAAATGTTTTCAAACTCTGGCTTAGAAGGGAGGGCCTTGATGATTTATGTCCTATTAAGTGGGTTGGCATCTTCAAAGCAAGAAGCTGAAGGAGCATCCAAATAAAATGCTGCATTCATGACAATGAATCTGATAGGAAAGTTTCTTGGTCACACTGGCCGAAAGAGCCTCAAATTGTTCATAAGTAAATAAAATGAGGGGAAAAAAGAGGAACCAAGGGAAACAGAACCACCCCAGCCTTCACCAAGGCGAGGAAAGATTTCCCACGGTTTTCAGAGGAAGCAGGACTCTGCTAATACCCCAGTTTTGGACTTCCAGGCTCCAGAACTGTGAGACAATAAATGTCTGTTGTCAGAGCCACTCAGTTTGTGGAACTTGGTTGAGGCAGCCCCATCACACTGATATACCTGGTATCTGCCAGCTGGACCCGCCTGGGGACTGGGATTTTGGAAAACCAGGGCTGGTTTGGGTGTGGTATCTGCACCGCTGTCAGGAATATGCCACATCAGGACCCAGGGACTGTTTGGTTAGAAGGTTGGGCTATGTCTTTAGTGAAGATCCTGGCCTGGCTGCACAGTGTTACCATGGGGGTTAGGAACCCTAGCTCATGGTCAATATAACCTGGAGAAAACCCACACAAGAACCTTTAGCCTGTGGAGAAGCAGGCTCTTTATTCCCACATGATGATACAAGGTCTTTATCATTAGAGAAATGCAACTGCCAATCACTCAGGATGCAGGTGGCAATTTAAAAATTCTTTTTATTACATTTTTTTATTGCTCATTGGGCATGATTCCAACATGAGAATGGCAGGTTTTGGGACCCCCACTTAAAGTTCACCTCTCCTTGGGAGACTCTACGCGTCTACCATTCTGCATAGTTTGCTGAAGACAGTGGCTCTAGATAAATCTTCCCACTGCATGGTACATTTTGCCTCTGAGCACAGCCACATGTCAACGGAATTCTGGGGTCCTCTCCCAGGGGCCTTCCAAGGGCAGGGCAGCTTCCACCTAGAAGAGAAACCATTCGTGTGAGCTGCAGGAAGCTGGCCCAGCTAAGTAGAAAGGCCACTGAAAACATTTCATCCCTTTCTAAAAAAGTGGTAGGAAGGAAACAGAGAGTCCTCCCTCACCTGGAATAGAAAAATCGGGATATTTTGGCAGCAGCTCTTCATGCTGCAAAACTTTTGGAGAAGGAGCAGAAGGTTTTGTGGTGCTAACTCCATATATTCTAAAACAAGAACAAAAGTCACGAAGTTACGAACCTTTTATTAAGACTATAATAAGAATAGAATAAATACAAATACATAACTATAAAATATAATAATATAATGTATGAACATGGTATGTTTATTTCGTTACAATTTATTCTAAAGGTAAAGATCATCATCCTCATTTTGCAGAAGAGAAAACTGAGGCCATGTGAGGCCTCCTATGCAGTGCCCTGGGGTCCCCTGCCTTCTCGCTCCCTCAGCACCCTTGGGCCTTAAGCCATTGCCAGGATGGTAATCCCGCTGGTTTTTACTCTCAACCCCTCCTTGCCAACCATCAAACACCACAGGTAGAGCTTCTGGGGAATGCTGAGCACAGGTCAGGAGCAGAGGGCAGCTGCCTACTGAGGAAGCCTTGAAACTGCAAATGAGGCACCTTCTCTAAGACAAATCACACACAGATAGTCCTAGCGCTGGAATGGGGACATCTAGTAAACCACTGCCCTGGGTTTGCACTTCTCCCCTTTGATCTTGTGCCTGGGGTGAGGACCCAAGACAGACTCACTCTTCATATGGTTTCAGACGTGCTTTCTTGGCCCTCTCTATGATGTCCAGGAAGTCCTTGTAGCAGTTTTTGCCCATGACAGCGTATCTCGTGCCACAGCCTAATTCAGTGACCCTGGCTCTCGGCATGTAGCCTGCCCAGCCAGGGATCGGGGGCTCCTGGAGAGGTTTCTTTACATATTTGCATTCTGTAAAAAGACACCATGTTTCTTGAAGGGTTTGGAAAGCCAGAGTGGACAATGCTCTTGAGTTAGCTGACACCCAAACAGTTAACCTACAGTGAACCCCTAGGCCTACAGATGCACTGGCTGGTTGATTCTATGGGCCAGCCACTACTAATTGGATGATTCTGCACGCCAGCCACCACTGATTGGTTGATTCTGCGTGCCAGCCACCACTGATTGGTTGATTCTGTGTGCCAGCCACTACTGATTGGTTGATTCTGTGTCATAGCCACCACTGGTTGATTCTATATGTCAGCCACCTTGATAGGGGCTTTACAAATGGTTTATGATTTAATCATCTCACAAACCCTAAGAGGTTGATACCATTATTACCTCCACTATCTGGAGGAAGAGACTGGGACCTTAAAGAGGTTGAGAGACTTGACCAAGGTCACACAGCCAGGAGGTGGTGGAGCTCAGATTCAAACCTGGCTCTGTCTGATTGCCAAGGCCTCACTCAAACAGAACCTGCTTCTCTCTTGGGTTAGGGAGAAACCATCAGACATCCCTCTGTGACAGCTTACATAAGGGAGGGAACCAAGAGAGGCATCCAGATCAGATGTGGCACCAGGAAGCACATCAGATGTGGCACCAGGAAGTGGCCATTAGGTCATGGCTCTGACTCCGGCTGGCTGGGTGATCTTGAGCAAGATTCTTTGCTACAACTGCCTCCCACTTCTGCAAGAGCCAAATTAAGCCACTGAGTCCCAGAACTTCAGAGCTAGAAGGTACCCTAGAGAACATCTAGTCCATCCTTCCCTGCTGTGGATAAAGAAATCAAAACTCAGAGAGGGACAGCAAGCTGCCCTAGGTCACACAGCAAGTAGTTGCAGAGCTGGGCTAAATCCCAAACTCTTAGGCAGCTATTCTTCATAATACTTGGAAAACTTCAAAGCACAGCAAACATGTAAATTATCACATATTCTTGAAAGGTTCCCATATAATTATAGCAATAACAATAAAGATAATCGATCCATTACTTTTCCTATGGGTCTTTAGATCTTTAAAATGATCTGATTGTGATTGTTATCATTATATAATCACGTCATCTGTTGCTGTTGTTGTTACTATAAAACCCCTTCCCACCCAGCTAGTACTTGGAGGAGTTGTATTCAAATCCAGGTCTGACTTCAGAGTCCATTTGCTGACCCAAGCCAAGTGACATTACCTCTCAAGGCCTTACTTCCCCTGTCTCTAAGGTGGGAATGAGTCTTGATCTCATAGAGGTGTTAAAGTGGTTAGCAAAATATCAGTGCCTGGCACAGAGAAAGCAACTAAAAAATGTTACCCACTGATCCAGAAGCTGAGATCCGAAAACTCATGACTCGCTTAGGGTCTCTTAGTTCTTGGACAAGCACCTTCTTCCCTAACCAGGACTGTGTCCCCTCCCCTCTAAATGTATCTTTCTGGTCGACCACAGCAGTGGCTCACGTCTGTAATCCCAGAACTTTAGGAGGCTGAGGCAAGTGGACCACCTGAGGTCAGGAGTTCAAGACCAGCCTGGCCAACATGGTGAAACCCCATCTCTACTAAAAATACAAAAACTAGCCAGGCGTGGTGGTAACATGCCTGTAGTCCCAGCTACTTGGGAGGCTGAGGCGGGAGAATTGCTTGAACCAATGAGGCAGAGGTTGTGGTGAGCTGAGATTGTACTACTGCACTCCAGCCTGGGTGACAGAGCGAGACTCCCTCAAAAAGAAAAGAAAGAAAAGAAGGAAGGAAGGAAGGGAAGGAGGAAGGGAGGGAGGGAGGGAGGGAGGGAGGGAGGGAGGAAGAGAAAGAAGTATCTTTCCTACTTTATGAAGCCTTTGCATTTGGCACTGACCCCTAGAAGGCTGAGGCGGGAGAATTGGTTGCAGTGAGCCAAGATCGCACCACTGTACTCCAGCCTGGGTGACACAGCAAGACTTTTTCAAGAAAGAAAGAGAGAGAGACAGACAGAGAGAGACAGAAAGAAATGTATCTCTCCCACTTCAAGAAATGGAGACTCTGCATTTGGTGCTGACCCCTGGGATTTGGAACTGTGCGGGACTCTGGGCACTCTGGGACAGCTCAGCTGGCCTATGAGAATCTGCACGGGTGATCACTGGTGAGGGAGATGGTTTCAGGGCACTGCTACCCAGGAGCAGAGGGTGGTACTGCCGATAGTACTGGTGCAGGGCCCGCAGGACAGTCTCCTCGGAGTTGACAGGCTTCAGTTTCGGGGCAGTGGCCACTGCATAGCAAAATTCCCGCAGCTGGTCTTTATAGCGCTGTGTTTTCTCCTGGAAGGTTTTCACACAGTAGTTCATGTCATCCTCCCTGGACGTTCCTTGGCAGCTGAGGAACGGCACGAAGCCTGCAAGAGCCAAATGGAATCACAGCCTTCAGCAAGACTGGCCAGCAAGGAATTCAGAGCCTGCCTCAACTCCCCAGCATTTCAGCCCACCCCTTGGCTTTTCTTCCTCAGCCAACACTACGTTTTTCCAAAGGCCATTAATACAAGCAGCACTGTTGTTTCCACTGAGGCTGGGCCCTCCCAAGGCCACAAAGAAATGACCTTGGAGCTGGAAAGGGAAGGCCCATTTCAACAAAGGCGATGACAGTAATACTCTTTGATAGCAAAGCCTCTGATGTCAGCCTGATGGAAAGTGGGGAAAGCATTTAATGGGCCCAAATGATAGTCTAAGGAGTAATTGAAATTATTCATCTTTTTAGAGAGAAAGCTTATTTTCCTTGACACTTCCCAAATGCAATTTGGGATCTTTCTTACTGGACCATCAGGAAATTGCAGGCTTATTAAAAGCAGAGCCCTATTACATAAAAAGGTAAATTCATTATCTGCAGGACCCACCCCTAGAACAATTTTTCACCACTTCCCACCAAGTAACATATAATCATTACAATTAGTATGGGTAAAACACAACTATTTATTTAAACTGGCGGCTGAATCCTAAGTACTATAATATTGTCACAATAAAACCATTTTTTTTTTGAAGAACAAATGAGGAAAACTGGTTAAGAACTTCGTTTTAAACTACAAAATAAATAAATATCTCTCCTTATGGAAGCCCAACATCTTTGCCATGGTCCCCAGGAAAACAAAACCTGGCTTCAGAGTTGACAGCAGAAATCCTCACCCCCTGAGCCCTACAATAATCCCTTCTGGAAGAAACTGATTACTAAACTAAACTTGACAGGGTTGGAAGTTTTCCATGCACTGCCCAGTCTCCCCAGCCCTTGGACAATTAAAAGATATCCTAATATTATGAGGGAGACCACAGAACCCTACAGTGGCACTTTGATCTGCTGAGGTTTGATATTAGTACATACATGCACACACATAAGCATACAGGCTACCTTGATTAAATCTTGCTGAAGACCAAGACATTTAAAATAGGTTATGTATGCTGGCTCCTTTAATCCTCACAACAATCTTATGGTATCCCATGTAGTGGGTTGAACTGTATCCTCCAAATAGATATATCCATATTCTAACCCCTGATACCTGTGAATGTGCTCTTATCTATATATAGGGCCTTCTTTGATGTAATTAAGTTAAGGATCTACAAATGAGATCATCCCGGATTTAGGGTGGGTCCTAAATCTAATGACTGATGTCCTTACAGATGAAAGAAGCAGACCTGAGACTCAGAGACAAGGGGTAAATTTCATGCGAGACTGAAGAGTGACTGGAGAGATGCTGCCACAAGCCAAGAACACCAGGATCACCAGAAGCTGGAAGAGGCAAGGGCGCGGGGGTGGGGGGGGAGGGCAGATCCTTCCCTAGCGCCTTCAGAAAGAGCATGGCCCTGAGGACACCTCCATTTCAGACATCTAGCCTCACAACTGTGAGGTAATCCATTTCCATTGCTTTAAACTACGTAGTTTGTGGTAATTTGTGGCAGTGGTCCTAGAAAACTAATACATCAATTTTATGGAATGTTGTACTTACCATAGAGAGGCAAGTTATTTATAGTCTCATAGATAGTAGCCAGACAGAGATTGGAACCTCAGCTTGTCAGAACTCAAAGCCTATTCTCAACCAGCCAGTAGGACCAGGGTGAGTCTGGGCAACCTTGGAATATTTCCCAAGCACCACTCCTCCTAAAATAGCTGTATGGGAGAGCTTGGGGTCTGCAAGGACCACTGGGTTTGTCACCTACAGGGATATGACTTAGTAAGTTCTCAGTAGCCCAGAAGCCTGAAGAGAAATAGCTTCTAGGTAGGGCAACCAATTTTTCCTGGCTTGCCAAGGACTGAGGGGTTTCTCAAATGCAAGATTTTCAGTGTTAAGGAAAGTCTCAGGCAGTCGCAGGACAAAGACAGTCCCAGACCAGGGCAGTTGGCCAGCCTTCCTTTAGGGGATGCAGGAAGGAATGGGAGCATAACAACCTTTGCGAGGGACTTGAGAAAACCTTAGGAAGGACAGGGCCTCAGCTTATTCGTGTGTCTATCCTGGTCCAAATTCATTCAACAGCCATTAAGTGCTTCCTCTGTATACCCGGCCATGTTCTGGGAAATGTGGTCGAAGTTCTGACTCTCAGAACCCAGCCATCAGCCATCTTCAGCAATGGAATGCTCTCAATGCATGTCTCAAAAGCTAGAGTGCCTATACTGGTCCAGTTGGCTGCACAGACACAGAGAGTGGGCCAAGGCAGGGACAGAGACCAGGAACAGGGTTCCCCTGCCAGGAACAGCTGCAGGGCACATCCACACTTACCGCTATAGCCTGGTATGATTGGCAGGTTTCTCATGAAGGTCTTGGAAGGCTCCATGATTTCTCTCTGTTCATGGAGGAAAGAGGGAGTGAAATGGCCTCATCAAAAGTCACTGCCTTAAGGAATTACTGTTGAGTGTGTACAAGCCCCTGGGAGTGGAAGAATGACCTTGCCAGGGGTTGGGCCTGAGAGGCAGCCCTACCATCTTACCCAAAGCCAGCAGACATAGCTGACTTCAGTCACAAACCAATGACCTATCACCAAGGGTCCATCACCTTTTATGTTAACTTGGATAACAGTGTACAGATCATACCCCCCCAGCATCTCCTCTCCCTGGAAGCACCCTCCCCTCCATCCAACCTCCAGCCATACAACAATTGTGAACTGTACTCATACCATGGCCCTGTGAGGCTCAGGAGCCTCAGTGGAGGGGAGAGATGAGGCCTGTACACCCCTGGACCCTCTTCTTGATGCAAGTGAAATCAGGTTGCAATGGTGATGTTGTGCCAGCCCCATCACCCCTGGAACATCTGGCAATGTCCAGAGGGATGTTTGGCTGTCAGAAGTGGGGAATGGAAGCTACTGATCATCCTGCAAGGCACAGGAGCCTCTCCTCACCCCTACCCCCGACCCCACCATCCGATACACACAACAAGGGAGAAGAAGTTCTGGCTTGAAGAGATCAGGAAGTCCCAAAAGGCAGACATGGAGTCCAAGGGAGGTAAGCGGAGGCCACCCTTTACTTCAGGGTGCTCCACTGAAGCATCACTTTATGTGGATGCTGTTTCTGGAATAAGATACCTTCCCTCTTTGGGCATCACTGGTCATTCCCCCAAGTGGACTGAGGCCTTGCCAAGTCCTGCCCTGCTGATCCAGTTCATCTCTTTAAAGTAATGCCCTTGAGGCTGGAAGAAGGGGATTCAAGGCGGAGGAGAAAGCCACAGTCACAGCTTAGTCAGCAATGACGGGGATCGTTAAGGCAGTTCAGCCCCCTGCCAGTCTGACGGCAGTGAGGACTGTGCCACGTCTAGGCTGGTCTAACGCCTGGCATCATGTGCCTGGCTCCTGCAAGGAAGCACTGGGCCTAGAGTCAGACAGGCCTGGCTGTGAGACCATGTCCCACCCATACTGACCACCTGCTTACTCTTCTGGAAGCTTTACATACCCCATGATATAAATGCTATATTATACCCATTCCCCAATTTAAAAAGACAACAGACATGGAACCCTGGCTATGCCCATGCTGCCGAAGCAGAACCCCATTCTCCTTTCATCCCCACAGCTTCCCTAAGAATGAGTTCCTATTGGAATTATCATTTTACAAATGAGAAAAATAAGGCACAGAGAGGTTAGATAACTTGTTTCAGGGTTCCAGAGTGAAAGGGGGTGTGAACAGATGACCTCTAAACTTTCAGGGGCAGGATAGTTGCCCAAAAGCATCAGCTGGTATAACCCCACCCTGAGGCCTGCCTGGAGGAGGTGGGCAGGGAGGAGGGTGGGGAGGGTGGAGTCCTGAGACAGGGGGCTAGGAGGGGTAGAAAGTACCAGCAGAACCCCTCCTAGCTGCCCTTCCAGTCCTAACCCAGGGCTCACCTGGGCAGGCCTGGATCTACCCGATGCCCACCTGTCCTCTGCCCGGTGTCCCAGGCTCCCTGCCTTCCATCAGGCCTTTGTGCGCTCATGCCTCGGAGCACAAAGGCCCTACTCCCGCCAGCCTGCCCCTCCCCCACTCTTCCCGGGGCCCCACCTGGAAGGCAGGTGAACTGAGTGAATTTGGGGCGCTTCCCTCGGCGCCTGGCACAGCCCGGGTCTCCTGGTGTGCAGTCGGGCATCTGCGCAGCGAACATCCAGCCTCGGGGCTGTCCTCTGCGCCTTGGCTGCCCCAACCAGGGCAGGGATCTGCGGAGGGCTCTAGGTCAAAACGGGCGTTTTTGCGGGTGTAGACACTGCGGCGGCTGGGTCTGGAGGTCTGGGTTGGGAAAGGGTTGCGTGGGAACAGGCGGGAGGGTGCAGTACCTGGAAGCTGCGAGGGGGGCCGGCAGCAGCGGGCGGGAGGAGGCAAGGCCTGGGGGCCCTGGCGCCTCCTACACGGGAGCGTCCTGGGCCTGGCAGCCCCTCCCTCACGTCCCCTGTTAGAAGAGGCGGATTTGCAGGTGGCCGGGACAGGTGAAGACCGAGAGGAGAGTCTGTGCACCTGGGCAAGGTGAGTCATCCTTCTTTCTAATCATCCTTAGGGAGCACCCAGCCTTCCTCTCATTGGATTGAAACCCACAAAGATGTCCGCCCTATGAAACAGATTTGGGGGGAACCAGGAGTGGGGTGTCGGCCGCATGCTGGCTGCTCCGTTTACCGAAAAAGACGCTGAAGCTGCGAATTCCAGCTCGTTTCCTGCACCTCCCTGCCTTCCCTACCTCTACTTTTCTGAGAATTGAACTGCAAATGGAGGCTGCTGAAGCCAACCACCATTTATATGTTGCTTTTATCCCACATTTAGAACTTACCTCGGGCCATCTGGAAGCTTTCAGAGCCAACCCTGGAGGATGACCCAGGTGTAGGCTCTGGTCACAGCCAGTTTCACGAGACACCAGACGGCTGGGATGCCCAGGGGCGAGAGCCCGGCCAAGCCTTCTGCATGTTTTAATGACTTTCATTTGGAGTACGGTGGCGTTGGCAGTGGTCACCCTGCTTATCTGCCCTCCCTCTGGCTACGTCACTTTCTTCTAGAGAAAAGGGGCTCTGTGCACACTGATGGGGGCCTTGGTTCCCAGCAAAGGGCCTCCTAGTCTTGCTAGAATCACTTAATAAAACTCACAGCACCTGGGAAAAACGGACAATCTCTCTCCACCACCTGAGATGGGTAGAGAGGGAGGTCAGTACTGATGTGTCCATCACGCAGTTTACAAACCCAGAATGGGGGGAAAAATCTGGGCCACATAAGATTCAGAGTTTTGCTTTATTAGACGTCTGTGAAGACAAGAGAGTTTGTAGACACAATCCTGTCTGTGGTGAACTGCTGCAAAGTTCTGTGAAGTTTGAATTTATCTTGTAGTGAAAGAGACCCCAATAGCTGATATTTTAGAATACTGGTCCATATTTCAAGCAGATGAGAGGTGTGACATTATGGCCAACAACTTTTATACTAGTCATCCACTTAAGCCATTTCCCAGCATACATATGCAGCTTAATCACAGATATTACATCTCTACAATGTGAAATTCGATCTTTGACTAATAATGCGTTTTGACTCCTGTTTATATTGGTGCATGCGATTCTTTGCCACCCTGGCAATTAACCAGACCTGGACTCTAAAAGCTAAACTTGATCTAAGTAACATTCTAAGGGTAAGGCAGCCTCTATAATCTGGACTAAGCCATCATTTTGCAAAAACAGTTGTATGGCTCCTCCTCTCTCCCCTCCTGCCTGTAACTTGTCTGTTATTCAGCATTCATTAATGCTTACTGTGTACAGAAAAGGTGGTTACAAAGGAAAGCCTTGATGATTCTGCTTCCAAAAAACGTCAATATCAGATAATGTGTCTTGGACAATTGAGCAATGGGTCAAGACAATAGGCCTTATAGATACTTTCTAAGATCTGAAAATGTGTTCAAGTGTACTTATCCAGTGCTCTTATTCTAGAATATTCCAGTGGGGGTGGGGAAGGAGGGATGGATTTGGGGGTTTCGTTTAAGGACTGTGACTACTGGGGCTGCAGTCCTGTGGCCAGAAGATAAACTTATCACCCTCTCTATCACCTATCTACCAACACTGCAGATTTCTATCAGCTCATTTAAGAGAAACAGTACACAGGGAGATAGCATTACTGCAAGGCAGGAAAGGCTTTACATTAGCCCAAATAAGAGGGATTTGACCATGTTACGCTCAACACTTAACCCAGCAGAAAAGTTGGGCTTATGAACCACTTGATTCCGTTCTTTGACCCTAGCATCCTGAAAACATCACACACAGTGGACCACGCTTTGCCCTCGGAGTGACTGCTCTGTCCCAGAAGGAGGGGTCAATGACCCCTCAGGATGCACAGGATTTTCTTAGGTTGTTCTGCACAGTCATATTGTTTACAGAACCAGAATGTTCAGCTCTCAAAGTCTGCACAGGAGAATGGATAGAATCTGCTCCTTTCAGTGGAATCTGTGACTCTTTGGGAAGGGTGTGCATGGAGAAGGGTCTGATGACGCTCCTGATCCAGGCGGTCCATGTGTGCTCAGTGTATTCTGACCCTAGGCACCTCTATCTATTGCTCAGTCTTTCGTACAAAGTCCATAGCTTGGCATCTGCACAAACTGATGCTTAGTAAGCACAACTAAGAAATGAAACTGGAAAATTAAGGACAGTAACAAAAGTATCATCAACAAAAAATCAAGGAGCATTTTCCTCTTTTCTAAAGAAGAAAAGCATGTCGTAAAAACAAAGATTCTGTACAAGATTCTAATATTATATGTACATAAAATTATATTACTCATAACTACATTGAAAAGTCTTATTTGCAGAATATGGCTGGCAACAAAGAAAGACCCATACCATTTAGCGTTGAAAGGAGGGCAGGTAGCAAGAGAACACTAGCAAACACACCTGTGTGCCTGGATAGATAATCCTGCTACTAAGTTATGTGAGTGGCGCTCTCTAGTTCTGTGATTTGTTCGCGTTTCACATTCTGGTAGGGAATTCTGCAGCAGGCAACGGGAAAAAGAAGACATGGTCAAATGAAATGTGAAATGCTATTTAAAATCTGCATATTGGCTATGATAATGGGTTTGTGAATCCAAGTTGCATTGGAAGTTCACTCATTCCCCATTCATTATGCATGCCTCCAGTGATTTAATGAATTCCAGCAGGTGGAAAAGACAGCCTTGAACAGATCAGATGGGCTGAGAGTCAGATTCTTAATTCTTTTGCCTCATTTGGCTCCTGAATGTTGCAGAAAACTGGTTTTGTACAGTGGAGAAGGAGAGAGTGAAAACCCTCCAGTTGGTTCCTCAGTCAGCTCCATTCTTAGTGTCCCCTTCTTGCAATTCTTTCCTCCCCTGGCCTTCCTGTGAGGTTTAAAAGTGCCATCTCCGAGCCCCAGGCAGAGCCCTAATCCCGTTCACCAAGAGGGCAAGGTATGGGGTCACCTTCACATGCAAACCCTCTTCCTAAAAGAACCCAACGAGGACAGCTGCACACTACGGGCTATGGTCTGTGTGTGAGCTTCAACAAAATCTCAAGTTAGTATTTCTCAAATTTCAGTTGAATCACAATGCGGTTCATACTACAAATGCAGATTCTGGTGCCCCTCTCCAAGAGTCGGCCTCAGTTTAAAAAGACGGGGATCCAGGAACCTGTTTTGAACACGCACCCAGACAATTCTGATGCAGGCAAGCCACAGACCTGCTGTGAAAAAACTGACTTAATCTGTCAAGTATAGATCTACAAATTATTTTTAAAGAGACTCGAAAAACTGAAGATACTAATGAAACATTGCATAGCACAGATTCTCTTCCCAAATTTCACCAGTGTGTCCCTTTCAAAATGTGGGACTAAATGGCCAAAACTCTTAGGGAGAGGAAGGTGCTTGGGAAGGAGGAGGGGGTTAATTTAAAATCTGTCTGCTCTTCAAGGCGAGAAGCTCTTCTGGATTTCTGAGCTTGCTGATGCACATAAGACCAATGGCAACCTCATTTTCTTACCCAGAATTCCTTCTAAGGTTCACTAGAATTATGAACTCAGAAATCAGGTCTTGGCATACTGGGAATTTATATCCCAGAAAATAATTTGGGATATGTCAGTAACTCTTTACTATCTATTTCCATCAATGGCAAGTTTTCACCTGCGAAGAATGTGAAGCATCAGCTCTCCTACTCGCAAAAGCCCTAGTGGATTACTCAAGTCTACGGTTATTCTTCCCTGAACCTCC